CAACCAACTGAGCCACCCAGGCACCCTCAAATTACATTTTCAATTTATGATGGGTTTATCAGGACATAACCCCATCATAAGTAGAGGAAGATCTGTACAGTAATTTTCTAATTGGTATTCTATGTAATTATATTCTAGATGTTAACAGGTTGGCCATGAGAAAATAGGCTTTCTGGCCAGGTAAGACCTTTTAACCTTATGTGTTCCTAAATTATCTGTCAAGGAACACTGTTTTGGGGGCAGTAAGGCTGTTACTGGATTGAGCACAGTGTTTAGGGGAAACATCAGTTTGGAAAATTCTAATCTTATGAAATTCCCTTAAACGGATGACAAAACTGAGGCCTAGAGATCACATCTGGTTAGCAGGAGAAAAAAAGAATGCGAACAAAATCTTTCATTCCCAGGCCAGAACTCTTTTCATTTTAACTACAAAATAGGCTCTTTAAACTGTATATAGTCAAACATTTAATTTACATTTAACATTTTGGTTATGGTGTCACATTTTCCGGTTTGTGTACTAACTCAGGTATTTTTAATTCCTTCAAGACCTGGGCTCCTAATAATTAGACCCACCTGAAGATTTACTATTGTTTAGTACTAATGAGGAATGATTTCGTTCAGAGTGGCAGCTTAAAGTAATCACTGGAATAAAGCATTTGTATTACAACTGGTTTTAATTTACCCTTGTTACAACTTGTCAGCTCAACTAAATCACTGTATTATCAGGTGAATTTCTTAGCATATAATGTCAACATATGCTGTCCATGAGAATATACGAGATCTGCCTGCGTAGATGACAGCCAACAACAAAACTGAGAGATTTTTGTCTTTCTACAGTTCTGGGCTTGTCAGGCAAACACTTAGTTTCCTATCTTTTTGGTAATTATCAAAAAAATGTTTTGATTGCTTTAACTACAGTGTCCAAATCAGATTATCACAGTACATTTCTCAAACTCCACAGAACTGTAAGATAGTGTAAGAAACACAATTCGTTCAGCTTTAAAGTAGTTATGTACCACTCACCCTCCCCGCTCAGGGTAGGAGAGAAAAATGGGAGAGACCCAACAAGTAACTATTGTTATGCTGCAACTTTAAAAGGCTTGAGAACCAAAGGTGGTAATGGTTAACAACTTCCTTATGACTACCCTGACTTCCTCTAATAAACTTCTGCACTCCTTTCGAACCTCCCCCCATGGAACATTAACTATGGCAGGTATTCCTGTCTCCTCAATCTTAAAAGAACCCAGTAGATGAATGAGACCGCACGAAGCCTGGATTCCACCAACAAAGAGGATACTCTGCGCGCCTTTATCGCACAGGTGCGACCTCCACCCCAACCTTGCGCACCGCTGGGCCCCAGCGCAGGAGGTTCGGGAGCGGCCACCCCTGCCTGGGGCCGCCCTGCAGCCTCCGCCCGGCCCACCGAACCCCCGCGCAGCTCCCGCCTCTCCGAAACCGGAGGGCGGCCGACCGGTTTCCAGGCTCCAGGCGGGGCCAGGGCGGCAACACCCCGGCCGCCACAGCTGCTTGCCCCGCGGGGCGTCCCCGCGGCTCCGGAACCAGCCAGGCCGAGGAGGCCGCCCAGGGTCGGGAGCTGGCCTCGCGACCGCGCTGGGGGCGGGGACGCTGTTACCTGCCGTGAGCTCGGCCGCTTCCCGCCGGCGCCGCTCTCCTGGCAACCACGGCAGCGACGCAGAGGCCGGGAGCCGAAGGGCCTAGTGACAGCTCCCAGTGTGCACTGCGCCCGCGCCCACGCCGGCGTCGACGTCGACGGCCCTCGATCCCCGCCCCCGGTCCGGGCCTCGCCTCCCGGAGCTAGTTGTCGCCACAGCGCCCTCGAGCGGACGGTCGGGGAAGCGGCCTATAGTCACCAACTATGGGGATGGTGTTTCCAACTCGCCAGCGCCAGCAACATCTTAATGGAGAGTTGGAAGGAATGCTAGGAATTGAGGACAGCTTTTATATATTGTTTAAACAATCATTTAAGTGTTATTTAAACAATTCCTCGATATTTCATATGAGGAACTTGAGGCCCAGAGAAGTTGGGAGACTGGTGACGTTAGGAGATAAATAGTTGTTAAAAGATTTGGACACATTTTGAGTTTATTCTCACTCTAAATCATGTAGTTACTACAAGGAAGATTGCATTGTTTTGCCTAAACCGTAGGGTCAAAGAAAAAAAAA